GGAATTCTAAGAAGGCCGAGGAAGCACTGGGCAGTGGTGGTGATGGAGGCGCCAGAGTGTTGTTGGAGCGATATCGCGTGGAGATTGCCGACTTGCGACTGCAACTTGATGCCCAGGCAAAAGCGAAGAAGCAGCAAAACGCCGAAGAGGAGAAGACGCGTGATGTGGAAGAGGAGAAGGTCCGAGAGCTGGAGGCTGAACATCGTCACGAAGAGCAGATGCTCGAGATGCACTTGGCACGAACCGCACTCAAGGAGCGCATCGATCACCTCAACCGCCTCATCCTGAGCTCCAAATCGACCGGCGTCAATAGCGGCACCTTTAGCTCTCTCGGCGTCCGGTCCTCCATGCTTTCTTCCAGGTCATCAATGGCGACCCCGAGCAGCGGACGGCCTCTGATCGAAAGGACATCCTCTATGACTTCTGCGACGTCCACCATAGGGCGCCGATCAAGTGGCGGCGCTAAGCGGTTTTCTGGCGGTGAAACGGCACCTGAAGACGAGGACAGTACGGGCGAGTACGGAGACGGCACCGCATCGCTGACAGCCCAAAACCGTGCTTTGCAAGCCGACCTAGCAGACAAGACGCGATACATTCAAACGCTAGAGAAACGATTGATGCAAGCGCGGCGGGCCAGCTCGTCTCGGACGTCTATTGGATTCTCCGCGCCGAACAAGGGCATCATGGTGGGCGAAGACCACAGTGTCTCGACGCTGTTGAAGGACAAGGACACGGAGATTGCCGACCTCCGGGCCAGGTTAGATGACAAGGACCGCATGCTCGCTGCACTGCGAAGTGCGGCCCGGTCTCGGGACACTGCTGAGGGCACCTCGGATAACCGAACCTCATCAATCTTCGACAGCATCGGGCCGCCCCCTACAAGTCCTCCCGCCGCTGCGGCACCCCTATTCCCAGATGGCCGCAATCGACGTAAGAGTGTGGACGAGATGAGCAAGATGCTTGACGAGATGATTCACGAACGCGTCGAAAACGGCCAGATCGTGCGTGGCAATCGGGGCAGCGTACGAGTCGTCAATGAACGCAGACTCGAGCCCCTACCCGAGCCAGCGACTGGGTTGGAGCCACTTCGGCAGAGCCCGACGTTGGAGGATGCGCCAAAGGTGCTTGTGGAGGCGTGAGAGTGGGAAGATGACCCGCTTGGATGTACGGATGGCAGATGGCAGACGTGATGAGGTTACTCGATATCCCCTGGTTTGAGGAGGACAAGGAGGGGTGTCCATGAGAAAAGGCGTTCTGGTTTGGCCATTTTATACTTCTTTTTTCTTGCTTCCGCGCTTATACCCGACTTTCGTTTGCGGGCCCGCTGGGGGCGATACAAGTTCATTCTTACCTTCGATGGATGGGTTTTCAGAGGGGTGGACGGTATGTGTTCATTTTTTGTTTGCTTGTATCACGCGAGGTCAACGGCAAACACGGAGACGGGAGACGGCGATGGACGAATGTCATGTCCAGCATCGAGCGCCTCTGCCGTTTGCTTTTAATAGGGGAGACGACTCGGGCAGGCATAACGTAGACATACATATACACATGTAAACACAGCACCGAGGAGACGACAGAGGGCTTGGGGCAGCTGGGGTTCCGCTTGCGCTTTATGACTAGCGATGCCCTGCTGACGATGCGCTCATGGTGCAAAGAGCAATGGTCTAATAATGAATTTTCTTGCATCCAATTCCATATTTCCTTTCTACTGTGCTTGCCCTTTTGCTTGCTCCTGACACCATGCTCATTCTTGAATTCCAAACGCTTGGACAGTGCTCACTCTGGCGAGTATTGATCCAAACAACAGCAGTCCCAGTAGGCTGTTTGGCGAACGGCCTTGAAAGGGTGTGCTCACTTGCCCGTGTCGGGACGGGATGACGTGCATGCGACCTGGACGCCCACTGCGACTCTGACGGTGAGGCACGGCCCTTTTTTTGGTCAGAATACAGGATAGGCAGTGGGAAGGTTCCAAACGATGGGATCGTGTCTCGCGAGCGGGACGGGGGCGATCGAGGGAGAGATGAATGGGATGGATTGTGCATCCTTGAGAACAGACGCTCGCTGTGACCACCTCATGTGCGGGGGACGAATTCTTCTCGTGATCTCCCCGCGTCTCCACGGCTCTGGATTGCGACGCGACAGGTCTAGGGAGAGAGGTAAGGGAGGAAGGCGGAATGCGAAGGGCGGGGCGCGCAAGTTCGTCAATAGTACCTCTCACTTCTCGTTGGAGGGGTGTTCCTCCTCTGGAAGTTTCTGCGAGGTTTGCTGAGCGATGCGATGGTTTGTGTTGCTTGATGTCGACTCGGGCGGGTAGGTGGTTGTGCCTCGTTGTGGGTTGCCTTTTCGGGACGGACTGAGTGGGGGGCTGCGCGATCAGGGTGGGCTGACGTGCATGCTGTATTAGTGAGCTCGGCTTCAGTGACTACATGGGTTCTCGTGCGCGTTCTTGTTTGGAGGTTTTTGTCAGCATGTTCATGAAATGTCCGCGCCTGGCGAAGCTTTGGGTGGTGGCAGCTGGACGTGGCAGCACGAAGGGGAGGCTGTGAACCCAATCAACGCGTCTCAGAAGCACCGTGGCTGCCGTTGTCTACTCAAGCTTGACACATCTGAGCTGACGTCTGCTGGAACTACCTAGCAACAAGTCTACGCCTTCAACACATGTGCATATTGCGGATGATGATGTGATGTGGTCTTCAATAGTCATCGTCATGTCCAAATACGGCAGCCAGCAGCGAGGACCGCTGCCCTCTAGTTTAGATCCTGCGTATAAAATCACGAGTCCATCCGGTGATACTGAATACTCATTGGA